CTCGCTAGATACCAAGACACACGCTTTCTTTGCTTTTTTGTCTCGGAAGGTTACACACAGGTACTTTGTATCCTGCATGTACCACCTCATTTCTCTGAAAGCCAGCCTGTTTGTTTTCAGCTCAGGCGGGAAGTCACGTCGATTTATATTTACTGTCCCGGTATAATAATATTTCTCGCTTGATAAATATTTCAGCAGGGGATAACTGGTGTAGTACTTGTCTGCAAACAAGTGGTGTCCAGGTGACAGAGGTGACAGCAGAGTGCTAAAAACCATTTCTGCCTGTTGAGCATCAAGATGGCGAGGGTCAAACGAGGTATTAGCCCCAAAATAAATTAGCAAATTCAGGATGTATCCCCTTTCACTCTCGCATAAACCGAAAGTCTTCACGTGATATTTCTTCGGCTTTGATGCATTGAACATTCTATATGCCCACCTGTCCTTCCAGCCGATAACCATTTCATTGAGGGAGAGATTTTTCTTTCAGTAGTACGCGGCTTGAAACTGTTGTAACAAACAATTTACAAAAGGTTAAATCTTCGCTTTTCCTTCAGCTCCAACCTCGCAAACGTGTAACATCGTGTGGTAAATTGCTTGGAACCTGTCGCGTGTGAACATATTCTTGAACCACGGTGTGCATTGATATGATTCATTTGACCAGTAGCTGTGAATGCTTGGCTTGTGCACTATACCCATGGAAATAACGACGGCAAAAAACTTGTACAGCTCACCAAGTGAGATGTCTGTCCATGTTCGAAAGACAGATCTTGCATTCGCAGTATCCCGAAGCTCTGCACATTTATGCTGTGCGTACTCATTGATCGTTGTCACCAGGCCACGGAGAATTGTGGTTGTACACAGTGCCAAAAAGCAGTGGATAGGAGAAGAACCTTGTGGCACAAGCTCCAAGTCAACTCCTGTTCTCGGGGGCGTAAACCGAAAACTATTCGCCGTAGCCCCTTCATTCACTTGTCTCCAGTTGTTCCCTACTTCTGCGTCTCCTCTTCCATGATCTCCAGTACTAGTACTAGGCCTAAGAAGGGGAGATCTAGACCTCTCTCTGCTCTCAGTACTCCCAGCACCAGCTCCCTTTCTTTCACCAGGCCCCTTCCCTTTACCCCATGAAGGACACGCCCCTCTACTGGACTTACAAGTTGAATTTGACGGACCGGGTTCATCAATGTCTGACTCACTCGAAGACTCTTCTCTGCCTATGACATCGTTCCCATCCGAGTCACTACCGCTACAATCGAGCTCAGATTCATCCTCACACATAGTTTGGAACAAATCTACGGCGGCTTTGGCAGAAAGCCTTTGCTGTCTTCCATTGTTGGCAGCAGCCATAATAAACAAACGAGCTGACTTGAGTTGACAAATTCGCACTGAAAAAGTCACAACAAATTCACTGGAAAATACTCTCCAAACACCACAAACTGCGTTCGAAAATTGCGTACTTCCGTTCTAAAGTGATCTCTAAGAAAGAAGATTTCCGTACACGGTGTAGTTTTTACACAAAGCCCCAGAATATTAGGTGACATAGAGAGCCACATGAAGTGGCGTGCCGCCGTTTTGGCTACGTTTAGTGCGCCACTTGAGGTGGCGAGCCGGACACTAAGAGTTAATTCTTTGAGTCCTAGCCACCGGTACAGTGGTGGCGCGGGAAATTGCCTGTACTTCTAGCCACCGGTGGCGCATAAAATTGCCCATATTTCTAGCCATCAGTACAGCGCTGGTGCATAAAATTGCCCATATTTCTAGCCATCAGTACAGCGCTGGAGCGTAAAATTGCCCATATTTCTATGTTGTGTCAAGTGGCCCCTGGCAGCATACCTGGTGGGAGAACACTGTGGACGAGGGCGCTGACCAGCGGTGGCTCTGTCGTGTCAGTTGACGACAAGATCTGAGGGAGAGAGAAGAACCTGCCGTTTTTACGTTTCGCTAAAGTCTTGTTTCAGTAAGTGTTTTACAGCACTTGCAACACAATAAGGTCATATAAGTGCCGGAGATTAGAAGTATTGTTACAGATGTGTGACAAACACAAAAAAGAAGGAGGGGAGATAAGGACGATAGATGTTTGATAGGAAAGAAGAAGCAAACCACACCAGAGCACCCACCAACCAGCCACTAGAAATATTTACACACATGCATAGATATTATATATATAGCATAATACTGTGTTCTGCGTATACACATGTCGATTAATTTTTAAGATGTGATGTCTTTTTCGATGTAATGCGCATTGAACATTTTTTTAGAAAATGGAAATGCCCAGTATAAATGCTATTTATTATTATTATTATCATTTTTATGTTTCGCTTCAGTCTGTTTGATTGTCAGAAAAGAGAGAAACAACTGACACAATAACGGTCATTTAATGTAGGAAAAAAGAGAGACGAACAAGATGTGTACACCGTACCAATTTTCTGCCCCTTCCTTTCACCAAATGCAGTCTATTGTAAAAGATTTTTAAAATTTCAACTCTGAAGGCCTGCAGAAAATTAAGTTTAGTTTAAGTAAGAGTTTTACAGCACTCGCAACACAATAAGGTCATATAAGTGCCGAAGATCAGAGGTGTTACAAGAGAGCAACAAACACAAAAAAGAAAGAGAGAGAGATAAAGACAACAGTTGTTTGATAAGAAACAAAGAGCATCCACTGACTTAGTTTTAGTTTTAGTAGAGGTTTTACGGCGCTCGCAACTGCATAAGGTCATATGAGCGCCAGAAGATTAGAGGTGTTACAAGAGAGTAACAAACATAAAAAAGAAGGAGG